TCCGGGTTATCTACAGTTCTCACTCGCATGTTTATAGTCAAATGCACCGATTGTATATCACGCCACAAATAAGAGGTTTTCAGGCAAGCCCTAACCTCAGCAGCTCGTTTTCCCCGTGGTATACCGTTAAGGTTTGTCGGAAATCACCACAAAATAAAACTGTGATACCGCCCATGGGTCGATCATTTTGTCTTATATCTCTTAAAGTTCTGTCTACCGCTTCTACTCCGTTTCGATGGGCCATCGTACATTCATCCTATATGACTAAATTACACTTTGAACGAATATTTAAACACTACCAAAACAACTAATACGTGGTCCTAACTTTAGCTACCTTACACATAAAATCTAAGTGACTATTTGAACTAAAATATTCTTATAGAATTATAACCAGAAATATATACAACTCACAACAAAAAAGAAATGAAAATAAAGCTGAAACGCCTGTGCAATACTATCTACCTATACCTCCTTCACTTAAAAATAAATACTTATAACTACTTTAATTAATAAAAGTACCTACGCTTAATAATTTTTAATTTGAACGAATATTTAAACACTACCAAAACAACTAATATCTGATTTACAAAATATCAACAAAAGAAATTCAAATAAACTATTTAAAGACTAAAAGTTGCGCTGATAAGCACGGTTTCGGTCTCCCAGGCGAGGGAGCAGATGAGAAATCCTCATGGATACCCTACAGCCGGCTGCAAGGTTATGTCAGACTCGTACTGACTAAAAAACACCCGTAGGGGCTGCCTCTGGCCGGGAAGGCCTCTAAGGCTTCATCGGAAGCGATCGTCCCCCAGGGGGGGAGCGACGCAGAAAACAGATTTAGACAGCTCGCTCTCGGACCTTTGATACCCTACCGCTGCCGCGACCCGTGTCGAGCGCGGCAACCGTTACACAAAAATAATCCTTATAGCATGATTCAGTATTCACGTGCGACGGCGCGATGGCTTATTTCATGTATAAGTTTGGTGTTTCTATACCGAGTATTATAAACGTAAGAGTAAACAAATATGATCAGAATGCTCCGAACTGCTAAGCTATCGGGAGTTACACGTGTTATTGTGAGTCAACCATAAAAGATAGACATATGCTGTTGCGGGATATTTTTTAGACAATTTTATGTAGAATATTTCCGTCGTACATGATTTCTATGTAACTTTAATCATTAAGGCTGCACACGCGACGGAAGCTTAAAAAATGGAGTAACTTCTCCCGTTTTCCCAACATTTCCCTTCACTACTCTGCTCCTACTGATTGTAGCGTGATGAAAAGTATACTATAACCTGCCCAGGAGTATGAAGAATAATTGTACCAAGTTTCGTTAAAATCCGTCGAGTAGTTTTTGTTTCTATAAGGAACAAACACACAGACAGACAGACAAAAAATTTACTGATTGCATTTTTGGCATCAGTATCGATCACTAATCACCCCCTGATAGTTATTTTAAAAATATATTTCATGTACAGAATTGACATCTCTACAGATTTATTATAAGTATAGATAATAGAATATTGACTTTCATGGATGTTTTGAAACGGTTTATAATAAGTTATATGAAATTATCTTTAATTAGCGGATTGTAATGGTTTCATTGACTATTAACTGTGTTACTTAACCCCACGAACTTTGATAACACGGACGAATAAAGATTGACTTTTATAGGAACGGTATTAAATCAAAATGATGTTAGATCGTATTATTGATTAATAACAGGCGATTATTATTGATAAGGTTCATAATGTAATTATGATCTAACTTCATATTGTGAATCATCATCATCAGCCTATTAATGTCCCCACTGCTGGGGCACAGGCCTTCCCTATGGATGAAATAGGGAGATTGGGCCATGACCCACCACGCGGGCCCAGTGCGGATTGGTGGGTGCTAACGACTGCAGATGCAGCCGGGACCGACGGCTTAACGTGCCTTCCGAAGCACGGAGGAGCTCGAGACAGTAAATTTTTGGTCACCCATCCAATGACCGACCACTGCGAAAGTTGCTTAACTTCAACGATCGCAGCCGAACGCGCTAACCACTTGCGCCATCGAGCTCCTCCGAGATTGTGACATACATAGTTTTAATACAAGGAATAAAAATAAACTCTATATATACCAAACTACAGGTTACAGAAGGTTCATAAATCATTTATGGGTCAAGGTATACATTTCTTTAATAAGATTCCTGATGATATTCTTGATTTCTCACAAATTTAAAATACACATTAAGAATTGCTTACTTAACAATGGATATTATACTGTCAATCAATATTTCAATGATAAAACGGCCTGGTTGTAATTTTACCTGTAGATAATTTTTCAAAAGTTATATTAAAACTAAGGCTCCCAGCCTTAGAAAGAGTTTTGAAGAGAACCTTGCACTTACTCCCTTTCATATACTTGTTCATTTTGTTTTGAAAATTGTTTCTTGCTATTTTGGGACTTTTGTTTGCACTTATTGTTGGTAAATTCGTTTATTGTCTATTGTTACATATTTGACATTATGTGATGGAAGTTGACCTCAACACATGTTTGCAAGTTTGATGTCTACTTTCAATTGGACGACACTGTATGAAATAAAACAGGGAGAGAAAAGCTGCCCTTGCTGAGTTTCTTGTCGGTTCTTCTCAGTACAAGGTCTCCTGGCGCCGTAGATTTGCGAAGTGATGGCGTAACTTTTCGACATTTACAAGTGCTTGTAACAGCCTAGACTGAATAAACGGTATTGAATTTTGATTTTGATACTTGCGCATACGAGGGACGTTTGTCCGCGGAGGACGAAAGTCTCAGAATCGTAAAAAAATATTAATGTGCACGGACCACACATCGGAAAGCCAATCAAACGACGCGACATCAAATAATCGTACCAATCATCGCTCACAACCGAGAACAACGACGCAATCAGAACCAAGTTATGGTCAAGTTCAAGCTCTTTCAGTGTTCTGTGATGGGAACCAAGCTGGTTTTCAAGGTGTCCTCTTCTCAGAGGGCCCGGGTTCGAATCTCGGTGGATAAACACAAAAAGGGAAGATACGGTACGCTCATACTAGCATCAAATAAAATATGCTCCGACTCAATAGGGTATTTGATAAGTTTTAGGCAACGATCTCACGTTATTGACTAATGTTTATGGAGTCCGCAAAAGTGGATATTCATCATTCTGTTGTGTATTTCAGTAAAACTAACCAAATCAAAATCTCCATTTTCAAGTTGCCGCGAAAACGTTTCTCTGGACAATATGGCGTCTTACTAGTGTGTGACGTCACACGACTGTTATTAAAGCGTCAAACGATACAATGTAATGTCGCTTTAACCGGAAGTTTACTTGCGTGTATCGTCATTTTAGGCTCCGCAAATCCCAAGCGTTTTGGTCACATGGCAATAGATAAGAAAACTATTATCTTTTTCGTGGGTTTTTAGTAAAATTATGAATATTTTTTTTTGTAAAAATAGTAAAAACCCCTGCCAATATTCATTCTCAACACAGGTGCTAACAATTGACACTTTATTTTTAATACTGTCAAATACCCTATTAGACCTTCAATCGGAAACCGTGAGTCCGCATCGCTTGGCTTGGCGACAGCGTTTTCTTTTCTCTCTCTACAAACGGCTGAGCTGTATTGTTGTCCTTTTCTTGATAACAATATGGTGATTGCTTAAATAACATTCACGACAAACCGTGATTTTTGAGAACAAAATATTTTTACAGTTTTACGAATGAAAAGTGTTGCCGAGGCATTTATTATTTGATTTTGAACTATTTGTTTTCTATAAAAAAGCATAGCAATCTTTTATCTGTATAACACACAATATTCGCAACATTATTATATTTAGCGCACTTGCAGCGTGTTTGAATGTCCAATAGGCTAGTTGACTCATGTCGAATTGCATTAAATAAATGTTTATTTCTTAAAGTAATTGGTCTAAGGAACCTAAATATATCGATTTCACTTCATAAAAGCGATTGCTCTAGAAATTTGCGAAAGCGAGCGAAGCGATTGCTCTAGAAATTTAATTAAAAAAATTTAGTCTATATTTTTATACACTAAAAACGCTGTTTGCCATATCCGCCATGATTGTGACGTCTCTTTGGTAGTAAACAACTAAATGTCATTCATATATAACTTTAAAACTTGTATTATTAAAACTGATTATAAATGAAGAGACTTAAGATATTATTCAATGATGTCGATTCTGGCATGATTCTCTAAAGCTAAACTCAAATTTGACAACAGTGCATCCCTGTCATTCTCTATACAGAATGAAAAGGAGAGACTGATGTTAAATTTAGTTTTAAGTTTAGAGAATCACGCCAGAATCGACACCATTGAGTACTTACATCAAAGTGATCTTCGCAAAAATAAATTTTACTATGAGTCGATAAAATTGCAGGATCTCTTTCAGCGAGTTCTAAACAGGTATTGTGTAGGTTAATTTCTTTAGGCACTTTAATCCACAACTTTCCTGGAGTCTTCAAGGATGTGTTTTTACATTCTCGTACAATACAATAATGGTAATTACTATATTTTTCGTGGTATTTATTAGAAATCATGTTTTTTTTTATTATAAACTCAGATAGGTTGATTTCTACGTGCTTACGAGTTTTTGTTTACTACCGGTTGACGTCATAGCATACATATTTTATAGACTAAAATGGCCGACAGCGTTTTTGTATGTCCATGAAATATCTATTTTAAAATTAAAGGTTTGTAGCTTTCTAGGTCTCAAAAAAATCATTTTTCGGTCTAATAGAACATTTATTAACTACTTCAAACCGTATTCCAAAAAGGGTCAACTAGCCTATTGTGACCAAAGCTAATTATGGTCATGCACCACAATTTAAGCGGATCACTTTTGAGCCGCGAGTGCCATTCTTGTTTTAATCTAAGCTGTGCTTACTTGGGGCTTATTGCTGTTGTGTGTGTGTTAGAAATATATTTGTTTAATTCTTATAAATTATCATGTACCTATTTTTTGATTGCCTTCAGGTGGTATAATGGTGATATGTGGGGCGACGACCGTGGCAGCAGCGTTTGTACCGCAAGGGGCGGCTGCTACGGCTCTACTGATCATAGCGCTGTGTTCGGGATGTGCAGCTTCCATACTAGCTGCCATTAGTGTAGACGTATTCCCCACGTGCTTGAGGTTTGTGTCATTAATTCAGTATGTCCTCTACTGATTGGACACACACACACACAAACACACGCACACACACACACACACACACACACACACACACACACACACACACACGCAAACACACACACATTACAGATATATTGTACGAACCTCGTACATATACGTACACGATGTGTAAGTTTTTTAACAGATGGCGCTGTTCATACATCTACATCGCGGTATGGTTTGGTATCACAGCTCTGATATATACGTACAAAGTTTTGAATGTGCGGTGACTAAAAATTTATTATCTCGTATTTTTGGTCACGTCAGTCTAGCTTTGCTTAAGATGGCGTGTAATCATAGTTATTGGTGCAACTGTTGTACGAAGAGGAACATTAAAACAAGTATAGTATATAGCGTGTGCTTATTGTAGACATGGGCGTTTTTGGTTTTGAACGCAAACGGATATATATCGGATTTCAAAATCCGTTTTTAGATTCAGATGTACCTAACTTAGCCAATTCACTAGTTTGTGTTAAGAATTGGTTTTATTAGCTAACGACAATCACAAACAATTAATTGAAGGAAGCAAGGATACTCGTACATTTGCGCGATTTTCCTTTATGCTTTAAATCTAGGCTCAGGACTAGCAGAAAAGTTATGTTTACGGTTAAAAGTAAAACTTTTCCGGTGCCTTTAAAAAATCGGCTTATATACAATATTTCTTTTTACATAACTTTTTAGTTTTTTTTTTATTACTTCAGGTCAGCATTCAAAAATGGAAGTTGCTCGAGTTTTGATGTTTTTAGACGACACCTCTTTTCAGTGATAAATAATCCCGCCTTAGAGAAGAGCAATAGATTTCAGCCAAAAAGTTTCACTTCTAAAATACTTATTTTGTATACTTTCATGCAGAGCAATGGCCATGTGCGTGATGTACATGGTAGGGCGGACAGGCGCGGCACTAGGCTCCTACCTTCTAGGGGCGACGCTCAACACTTACTGTCTAGCGGCATTCAGCGTGTTCGGTGCTTTCACCGCTGGTAAGTAACACTGCCATTGACATGTATCACATATTTCTATTTATAGATCAGGGTCGATAATTTTTGAGACCAAAAAAAATTATAGTAGGTTGTAACCCATTGGAAAAGGTAGAGAATATAACAAAAATTAAAGGAAAAATAAATTACGGGCGATCTGAGGTCGGGAAGGGGGAGGGGGTGAGTTTTTAAGGGTAAAAAACGGTTAATCTCGATTTCTGGTAAAACTGCAAGTCCTATGAAAAAAAAAGTAAAATGGCAAAGTTGTAGGTAATATAAAAATCTACAACTTTTGTATCGACACTTTTTTCACATAACCTCAAAATTTATGTGAAAAATTCGAATAACCGAGTTTTTGGTTTTTTATTTTTATGTTTTTGCAAAAAATATAATTTTTTCACGAGATATTTAGTTTAGAGTACGTTTGTATCACTCCGAATCCTTGACTGTTAATTAAGTACACGTTAGTTACTTTAACTTATAACTTCAGGAACTACAAAGTTTGCTTGTATACCATGTAGCAAAGTGTTTTTAAACTTTTTACTTATTAAGAAAGCCTATTAAGTAAGATGTTTCTTTTTCGCGCATAATCATATTCTTGTTGGCACAAATACTCATAAATAAATAAATAAATATTTCCAACACTCACACCAATTAGCCTAGTCCCAAAGTAAGCACTGTAAGGCTTGTGTTATGGGATGCTAGGGTAACGGATAGAATACATATACTGTACATATATAAGTATATTTATATAGAAATACATAATAAACATCCATGACTGGAGTACAAATGCTCGTATTCATCACACAAACATCTGCTAACACCGGGATTCGAACCCGGGACCACTCGAGCGATTTTTTTATTTGTCAATGGGTAAGCTCTTCATTAATTTTATTCAACTGCGTTTTCAGGAACTACGCTCCTGATGCTGTTCTGGCCGAAACCTCAAGAAGTGAGGGAGAAATTGGAGGAACGAGGTCTCACTTACTGAATTAATTACCTATTTATGTTTCTGTTTTAAGGAAACCATTCATTACCTTATCATATTTTTATGATGCGTAGGTTCTGTTACATTCAGTAACAGTACTTACATCGAATAGTCTATGATATCAAAATCACTAATAATAATAAGAGACTGATTTTATGTGGAATAAATAATAATGAAATATATTGTAACCATTTTTGGAAAATAAAAATGCATGTTTTAGTTTATTCTGTTTATTTTTATTACCGTTATCATTTGATAGTGACACTGTCGTCGCGGCCAGGAGGGGAGTAGGCATACACGGCTTTCCCCTCTGTCGAGTTGGGCATACAAATGATACATGTGTGCAGGATTTGTCGATCTAATTTTGTGTCATTGTTTCTGTGTGAGCTCATAGTAACAGTTTTATTTTATATGCGTGTACGTTAAACTGCGTTTGTGTGCAACCTCCCTCCCCCCGCAAAAATGGCAATGACTTGAATAGTTTTAAGTTGCTATGGCTACTCCCGTCCATGTCGCTCTATGGTAGGTACCCACCGTACCCACATATTGATGAGCTGACTTATCAGCAACTAGCGGCTCGCCCTCGCTTCGCTTCGGTGTAGACTACAGTTTTTGTTCTCAGGCTTGTATTATACACAATGACATTCATCTATGATTCTTCTTATACCTGCATGCAACGAGTCGACGACGACTAAAATTGACAAAGTTTCATACAAACCTTCATTTCCTATTTTATGCCCTTGGGGGTAGAATTGATCAAAATCCTTTCTTAGAGGATGCCTACGTCATAACATCTACCTGCATGCCAAATTTCAGCTCTATCCGTCCAGTGGTTTGGGCTGTGCGTTGATAGATCACAATGTCAGTCAGTCACCTTTGAGTTTTATATTATATAGATTGAATAATGAAAATAATTTTGGTAAATTAACTAGAACCAACATTCAGCTAACCTATTTTATTATAGTCCCCACTGCTTGGGTCATTGGTAAGGATAGATTAAGGAGATCGATAATCATAATAATCAAAATCATTAATCCAGCTTAGGCTGTTACAAGGACTCATGAATGTCTAAAAAACTACGCCATCGGTTCGTAAATCTATGGCGGGAAACCTTGAACTGAGAAGAACCGGCAAGAAACTCAACAAGGGCTGTTTCTTTCTCCCTATTTTATTATTTACGGAGTAGTCAAGTTGAAAAATAACTTCAGAGATGATTCATGAAGTCACTTTTCATTACATAATGATTAAATATACATTAATTGTTTAACTGCATTTTGATTGCTGTGTCAATGTAAATACAAATGCTATACGATGGTCCTAGTGCGGCTTGGTAAGTGCGAATACATTTATTCAGAAATGGAAAATCATCATAGATCATAAACAAATCTCATATTGTACAAGCTAATCCATGTATTCACGAATTGTTAAGTTTCATTGAATTACGATGCAGCAATCCAAGTTGTCCTTCCATCAGAATTTCCGCGATCGCTTTTTTGGCATAAATTTGTTGTACAGATTCCATTTTCCTCAAATCCGAGGCACAAGAGATGGCCCAGTAGTAATATTCGTCTTTCTTCTCACTTAGATCTTCATTGGGGTAGTGCAAGATATTTTCTTCAATGACTGCATTTTCCTTTGGAGTATTAACTTCGCTGTTATCAGCTGTAGAGTTTTCATAGTCAACTAATATGGAAAGTCTGCTGCCCTGTAATTAAAAATCTTGGATTAACGTTCACAAGCCCGTGTTTGAACACTCGCTTACATTACAAGCGAGCCGCGACTCTCTGAGAGACCTTTAATGTTGTCTGACCTAATGAAATTTTAAATTAAACTAGCGGCCTGTCCTCGCTTCGCTTCGGTGTAGAGCTGAAGTGTCTGAATCTATGATTCTTCTTAAACCTGCATACAAAGTCTCAGCCCGATCGGTTTAAAATTGACAAAGTTTCATACAAACTTTCTTTCCGTATTTTATCCCCTTGGGGGTAGAATTGATCAAAATCCTTTCTGCCTACGTTATAACATCTACCTGCATGCCAAAGGACATTGTTCAGCGTCCATACATAGTTAGCCTAAGAACTAACAATCATGAAATATTACTTTCTAGGTTCAAAATCGTAAGTAAATGACTGTAAAAACAAAGATTATTGACGGACACTTCTGAGAACTTAAATTATTAGGAAAACTAAAAATTTATTTAGGTTATGTTTAATATTCAATGAAACATAGGTCAACCTATGAATTTAGTATAAACTCAGTATGAAGTGAATCAATATTACAACTAATTCATTTTATTCGGTGCGATTTTAAAGAATAACTGTTAGGAAAAACTTGGTAAGGTAGGAATCATGAATAAAATAAAAACTGTAGTTTTGCTTCTTATTTATTGACTATTTTTCACATAATTGTATCATATTGTTCATTGTATTTATTTGTATATCACATGTAGGTATATTGTGTAAATATGCAGCGTGAATGTGTATCAGTTGTTCTTGAATAATTTGGCAGTATGATCCTCTCAGGATGTTGTGGCACAGGTTCACTAGCACTTGGTAATAAGGGCTCTGCTCTTTGGTAACATCGATGGCATATTTGATAGCCGAAATAGGATTCTTTAAATTATAGGAATAACAATCGCAAATAAACACATCCAACAGGTAATCCGAAACAAGAATGCACTTTCCGGTTTTGTTATACTACTCTTTGGAATGCACGAATGCCACAGATTACTACGAATGCAAACCATAGAGAAAGGTAAATATACCAAATGCAAACTGCATGCACCACAACCACAGAGTAACGAGTTTTATGCCGGCCCTTCACTTGACAACAGTTTATCCTTGTCATGCTTAATAAGGAATGAAAAGGACAGACTGATGTCATGTTTTAAAATAGCAAATACGAATAGCCAAGTGAAGTGCCGGCAATAGGAAGAAAGAGTGTTTTGTTGGCAGCGCTGCCATAGATTATACACATAAAATGGTATTTACTGTCTGAGATTATTATTTAACTTTTTAATTTAGCTTACTAAGTGTCCGTCACAATCTAAATACTGATAATTATCGTAAAAATATAGTAAGAATTATCATAAATGCCAAATTGGTGTTGGTTCTTAGGCCAATTTTAACATTGTCCTTTCAGCCCGATCCGTCCAGTGGTTTGGGCTGTGCGTTGATAGATCACTATGTCAAGTCAGTCGATCACCTTTGAGTTTTATGTATATAGATTGACGTCTGAATGGAAAAGTAGGAAATTCTCATTCTAAAAGTATAAACAATTATATGAAATTTACGGAGACGATCTCAACAGACATTCATTTTGTTTTTTTTTCAAAAGGGAACTCAATACACAAATTAATCGTACGCGGAAGAACAGATTGCCGATTGAAAATGCAGTTAGCGACCAACCATTGACCAGCTCGGTTCTACTGCCTTAACCGGAGCACGGATACTAAAATCCCCCCACGGCAACTGCTAACTACGAGCCGTGGTCCAAGTCTTAGAGACGCCTTCTAGTTGAGTCGACTCCCTCAGGTTCGAGTGGTTTAGGGGCTCCAGACGGAGAAGTGACCCTCCAATGGGAGATGCCATCCGCCGAGAATTGGCGAGACTGGAAAACCTCTGAAGACAGGTATTTCAGGCTCGCCAATTCTCGGCTAGAGGTCCCCTTAGGATCTCGTCGTCCGCGTCCCCAAGAACCCGGTGACGCTGTTAAGGTCATCTACGACCAACAGTATACATATTAAAAAAAAAGAAGGATACTAAAGGTCATTTCGATTATTTATTATTATGGGTCTGTACTCTTAAAATCTGGTAAGTAATTGAAATATAATCGATGTATAGTCAACTTCGTCGTGTCCTTTCCTACTTTCATCATCATCATCATTAAAACTATGAAGGTTAGAGTAGTCGATGATAAATTAGATAAATACTCAATCGCAAAGACCAATGGTACCCTAGTATTCGTGCGTCAAGTACGTATCTTGTAATTATTTTGTAGGTAAATGTATTGGAAACGACAAAATTAAAGATCAGTAATACTGTTCTCCACTATTCTTTTTTATAATTTTCTGAATTTCAGAGATTGGTAAGATACATATAGAAAAAGTAATAAGAAATAATGGTGTCACGGTTATATTATGCGATTAAATATCAAAAGAACAGGTAGCGATTAGATCGGCCATACGACTGATGCAACGGTAACATTTTCACCTTCTGCAGCTTTTGCACTGCTCTACACCGAAATGGTCACGAGTTCGAGTCCCTTTTGAACCATTTATTTATTTACTAGTGGCCCACCCTCGCTTAGCTTCGGTATTTTATCCCCTTGGGGGTAGAATTGATCAAAATCCTTTCTTAGCGAATGCCTGCGTCATAACATCTACCTGCATGCCTCAGCCCGATCCGTCCAGTGGTTTGGGCTGTGCGTTGATAGATCACTATGTCAGTCAGTCAGTCACCTTTGAGTTTTACATATATAGATTAGTAACCATAGTACAACTTTGAGAATACTATAAGCTATAGTTAGGGAATTACATAGCCAAATATAATAGTCACTTACATTTCTACTTTCGTCATCACTGTCTTTAACTTTTGAAGTTATCCTGTATTCTGAATCCGATTCCACAGCTTCTGTCTCATTAAATTTAGAAATATTCACATCAAAAGTATCTTTTTGACCGTTTAAAAATGTCAATGCATTGAAGTACCACAAAGTTGATTTATACGTTGAATCTAAGTCTGAGCACTTTTTTGTTTTTATTTTCTTGCATTCTTTACGATAGTTGGTTCTGAGAACGTTAAATTTCTTTGTAACATCCGCTCTGGTGGCATTCGGATATAAGGTTCTATATTTGCGCAAAAGAATATTGTAAGCCTTATTTTTTTCGTTTCTATCGTAATACAATTTACTTTTCATGTTCCATAAAGCGGGCAAATCCTTGTATATCTGTATGCATTCGAGGATAATTCTCTTTTCCAACTCTTTCTCTTTCGAGCAAAGACATT